ATATATATATATATATATATTATGTATATATATATATACATAAAATTCAGTTGAGTAAAATTTGGTAATTCATAAAATAATTTGATATACTCGACGTGTTAAATTAAATTACGTAATAATTGAATATAGTATATCTATAATAAAATCGGACATATTAACTTCTTATGTTCATCATTTTACGCGTACACGTGTAGATATTTTTTCCTTTCTTTTTTTTTTTTTTTTTTTTGTTTACTACCAGTAAAAGGCCAGAGTTTTTAGTTCGAATACGTTCGAGTGTTTTAATCGTCCAGAACACGCAGGAGGGCAAATTTTTAATAAACAGTTTCAACGTACATAATATGACCAGCACATAACATTTGATCACGATTCGCGGAGCGGTAAAAAATACGCTTGCGTGATTCGCTACATTTTCTGGAAAAAAGAAAGAAAGAAAGAGAGAGAGATACCTACTCAACCCCATACCCTTCGATCGTGATCGGCCCGCCATCATTTTCCGTGCAACCGAGTAAGCTTCTTTTTTTTATGGTGTTCTATTCTGTTTTTATTTTTTATTCTTGTTTTTGGTGTTTTTTGTACTCTGTTTTTTTCTTTTTCAACTTTCTTTCTCGTTTCATACAAGCTAGTAGAGTAGTTTTATTCAAGATAAACGACGATTTAGATATATTAAATAAAAAAGAACAAAACGAAAATGTTCAAGATCGAGATAGAAAAGTCAGTTCGTAATAGATCTAACTAATAAAATCGCGTGTACACTTTTATAATAGAATATTATTCACGTATGCATCGTGCACGTATATTAGTTGAAAAATTATTCCACTAAAGAAAGAAATAATGTATATCTATTATTCGTCAAATGCAAACATGCTAATGTATCATCTATTAAACTATTCAACTATTACGAAGAAAAAAAATGTACGTTCATAAGATAATAATGTTTAATAATCTTTCTATAGATTTTCTATTATATCAAGTGAAAACGATAACCACGGAAAAATGAAGAATTTCAAACGATTATTATTATTATTAATATTATTATTATTATTATTATTATTATTATTATTATTATCGTTACCATTTGATACATACACTTATACATACATACATATAAATATATATATTAGGGTGGGTCAAAAAAATCAATTATTTTTTTTTTTACAAGTGCCACGGAAAAATGGGTTGCAAGACACCTTAAAATTCTCACCAAATATGAGCTCTTAATTTTAATAGGAATTTCCTCCGCGTCGCAGTTTTTTATTTTTTTCTCAGTCCAATAGAATAAAATTCATACCTCATTGATTGTACAGAAAAATGTTCGAGACGAATTTTGTAGGAAATTTAATGCTCTACAAAAAAGGTATCTTATACTTTTTCTGTAAACCTCACCATTTGAATGATATTGAAGATTTAAGTTTGATTATTTTAGGACAAATTTCATTTTTGTTTATGAATTTTATAACTCGACAATAAATGACTATTATAAAATGTGCAATACAAATTTTTGTAGGAAATTAACTGCTCTATAAAAATGGTGTCTTATGTTTTGGCGATTAAATTAAGCGTTCAAAAGATATTCATCATCAAACTTTCATGTGTACTGATTTTTGTCTCTGATATATTTTGTCTTATATATATATATATCTAATATCATTTTTATTATCGAATAATATTGTGTGCATTGTCTATTTCTCTCTTTTTTTCTGTTTTCAGTTATCAAGATTTTAATTGAAATAATTGCTAATAAGTTGATACGTAGCAACGATTGTAACCCATGTCCGGCAATGCTGATGAATATCAAAGTAAAAATATATTTCGTATTGTTAAACGTTATATAAATAAAAAAAAAAACATACGAGACTGATTTGTATGTATGTGTGTGTGGGCGAGATCGGGGGACGAGCAATTACTTCGTCGAAACTGCATCATTTATCGCGATGATTTGTTAATCGTCGAAGTTACGGTCGCATACAGTTTCTGAACGAATTCGTAATCGATTGGGTCGAAACAATAAATTTCATTTTATTACACCGGACGAATGAAAACGTTTATATCATTCACCTCTTTTATATGCATTTACGATACTTATATTATTTATATTAACGTATATATATATGTATATGTATATTACATTGAATTTTTCTTTTTTAATATTAAAAATCATCACATAACTGCTAATACGTTCGTTTATTATTTCATACGTTTTGTTACGAACAATGTCGCGATAGTCATTGATTATCTCTTTTGAAATTATTTCTATTCTTTTGTTAGCTCGTTTTATTCAAATTAATTGAAATATTATTTCAATGTAATATACAAACTGCATTTAAAAAAACAAAAATATCAATTATTACTTTGGTTTTAACAAATGTTAGGATAATTATAACTCTCTCTTCTCAAATTATTTTTCATTTCTATACAAACTATTGTATCCTATCTTATTTATATTAATAGAAATATCAGTGGTGTATATAAAAGAAATTAATTATATCCTCATTCACGCATCACGTATATAATTTCAGTGTAAAATAAAAAATTATAGATCAATTAGTCGAAACAAAAAAAAAATAAAAAATAAATCGTGAACATTACTACATTAAAATATGACTGAATATTAAAAATCACCGTCGTTGGTAATATTATTTATCATATATATTTTCCAACAAGTATAATTAACATCATAACAAAAAATTCCTTTTAACAAAGAAAAAATATCTTCTTCTTTCGTATTATAAAAATAAATTATTTATCATATTCATCAACGTCGTATTTTGGTATACGAATAAAAGAATTAATTACGATCAATTAATGCGACAAAAAAATTTTGACTCTGATTGATTAGAAAAAAAAATAAAAAAAAACATAGAAGAATAAATCAATCTTTGAATAATAATAATAATAATAATAATAATAATAATAATAATAATAATAATAATAATAATAATAAAGAGTGTCAGGTGTCGATGAGAGTAGGTGGAAAGAAAGTAAGAAAGAAAAGGAAGAAGGAAGGAAGTGTGCAGGTTTATTATACCTATAGATGAGTTGTAGAGTTTGGCAGAGGAGTGGGGGAAAGCGTGCCCCTGGGAGAGAGAGAAACCTAATCGATGCGTCGTCGCATGCGACTGCGTGCTTTTATCGCTGTCACGCACATAATTAATTTAATTTAGTTTAATACGCCGGGCGGTGAGCGTCGGCCCATTGGGCGGCGATTGCCGTTCCGATTGTTTGCACGGAAACGCTGCCATTAAACCCGCTGCTGGGTTGTTGGCTAGCAGGCACGACTAGTTCCTATCACGTCGAATTCCAAAGTGGAACGATAAATCCTATCGTTAATATCGATCCTACAATATATATATATATATACGTTGCTATTTCTATCTATCTTTGTTTGTTTCTTTTATTTTCCTATTTTACGATTTTACAGCTAATTGTACAAATTGTTTTACAAATAATTTGAAATTTTGTCAAAAATTTATTTCGATTAATTCATTTGACTTTTTTCTTTTTTTTAAGAAACATTTATCTGTTATCTAGGATTAATTATTTTTATACGAGATATTTTATTACTATAGTATAATATTGAAATTTTTCTTTTATCATTTTGACGTAATATTAATTATTGAAATTAATTTACGTTTGAGATAATATTATCTTGATATTAGAATAAAAATATAATCCTCTTACTTGAGAGAATAATTATAATATTTTATCGTTTTGACGTTTGATATTAATTATTAGCTAACATATCGTAGGATTAATTTGAGTTGAGATAATAATACAATGTATTAGAAACATTGGTTATTAAGTTAATAATATATTAGTTATCGTAATCTTTGTTATTTATTTCGTACATTTTAACAAATTTATTCATGAAGGATCAAGAAAAATAATTTTATAATTAATAATATGTTTCAAGCTGTTTTAAATTTAAATTATGCTATAAAATTATTGTTTCACTTTGAAATTAGATATGATATGAAGAACAAAATACAAAGTACAATGAATAAAATAAAAAAATGAATTAAATATGATTACCTGGACACGAACTTCGGGAAGGTTGACCTTCATGGCAAGTTCTTCCCTGGAGTAGACGTCAGGATAATGTGATTTTTCAAATGCTCTCTCAAGTTCGTGCAGCTGGTAAGTGGTGAAGGTCGTTCTGTTACGACGATGCTTCTTCTTACCTCCATTCCCGTTAATATCGTCCCCGCAACCCGCACCAAGTTCTTCGTCGCTACCACCGCCGGTTGAGTTGCAGCTGTTCTCACCTGGAAACCCAAACACCAAGTTGGGAGCCGGTCAGAAATACTAGGGACCTTCGAGGAAACGCTCGTTACAGCTAATGGGGTTGGTAATGGTCATCGATTTATCCAACGGCAACCAAGCTATTACCTCTATTATGCGAACATGATAATGGTAGTTACGATCACTATGACTGTTACTTATCCAACATTTCCAACTCAAATTCTAAGCTATAAACTTTGTACTTTTATTTCATACCATTTCTTACTTTTAAATAAAATTATACACCGTTTTATTTTATCTAGATTATTCATTCAGAGTGTAATCAAAAATATTATTTAGAAACATATCTTCTATTAGTTTGTTTCTAAATAGAAAAATAAACATTGGATGGATCTGCAATTTGTTAATTTTTATTTTATCTTGCATTCTTTCAAATAGAAATTTTACACAATTTTAAATATTATTCTAAGTCAATAAATTTTTTTTTGATTATATTTGATAACCGTGTTTAATTTTATAAATGATTTCATAAGAAATCTTGACAAATATCATAGATATATTTATTAATCAATTTCAGAGAACTTATCTGTAATAATTACATTAATATTTCATAAATAATTTATATACGTTGCAGTAATCGATTATAGCTAAAAAAAAGAAAGAATAAAATACATAAGTATCGAATATATCAAAACAAGTTTTCCAACGATTTCGAATAATTTCTTATTTGAATTGACAGCGCTTTTTGTTCTATCGATAAAAAAAAAATTATCCGATCTAATAAATCATAATGATTGATTAAAGATAACCAACAAMAACAAAATAATAAAAGAAGTAAATTATAGATATATTTATTAGCTAATTTTAACTATATAATCATACGAATTAAAGCTCGCGAATTATCAAAGTTTACATTAATAAACTAGGAAGGTAGAAAAAAAAGGTAATATCGCTTTTTACCATGAGTTGAAGACCACTGTTATAAAGTGTATGATAGCACGTATGTGCATATACCGGGTGCCACGTGAGAAATCAAGTGGCACGATGGTAACATTTGTAAAATTTTCTATCGTGCTGTACGTTGGGTCAATGCTGCTTATCTACCGTTTTACTAAAGCAACCGACTAACAACCTCTCTCTCTCTCTTTCTTTTATTTTTTCTTTTTTTTTATTTCTCTCTCCCGTTCTCTCTTTTTCTCATTCTCTCTCTCTCTCTCTCTCTCTCTCGTTTACTCGCGAACTACGCTGTGTAATCGTTAAATGAGCAAAGAGAACCACAAGATTTACTACTTTCGAACTTGCACGCGACCATTTTATTTGCAAATTACTCTCCCCGTGTTTGTAATATACAAAAGCAACATTTTATATGTCGGTACAAAGTAAATAATAAATTTCAAATAATCATTCGAAATGTTAGAATTCATTTGTGAATTTAATACGATTCGAATGATATGTTATTATAGTTTATCGTATAATTATATCAAATTAATTAAGAGAATAAGTTATTATATGAATAATAACTTACGTAAGTATAAGGAAAAGAATAATTTAAAAAGAATTTCCCCATTTGGAACGTGATCGTTTATACGAAGCAAATGAAACGTGCGTTACAAAGGTTAACGCAAGACTGAATTGTTTGCAAAGTTTTACCTGTGTTTACGTATCCCCAAGAACGTTTGGATTCTATTTTTCTTTATGTAAGTAATATTATTCTATGTTTTGAAATTCTTTCTATCGTCTTATAAATCAGAATATAAAAAATGTTTTTGTTTCTTACAACATTGAGATATAATAGAATTAAATTATATAGAAACTTATCGAACCTATACAGATAATAAAAATTAACTAGAATCCCATAATTTAGTGATATCTATTTTACCAAAAAAAAAAAAAAAAAAATGATCAACCTATGAAACAATTCTTATATTAAAGGATAAAAAATATGTTTATAATTAATATTTTATAACTAAATATATATATCCTATATTTATNTGAAATTCTTTCTATCGTCTTATAAATCAGAATATAAAAAATGTTTTTGTTTCTTACAACATTGAGATATAATAGAATTAAATTATATAGAAACTGATAATAATTTTCAATTATCTAATAATTTAAATTAATTACAAATATAAATAACAATTTTGTTATTAAAAAAAAAAAAAAAATAAATGATCAACCTATGAAACAATTCTTATATTAAAGGATAAAAAATATGTTTATAATTAATATTTTATAACTAAATATATATATCCTATATTTATTATATCCTTTATTATATCCTATATTTAATCTAAGTTTTTTTTTTAATCAAAGTAACTTAAAAATAATATTACAAGAATTAAAATATACTTAAAAAGAAAACATAAATAACTTTTTGTATTAAAATTAAAATGATTAATATCAAATAGTAGATGATTGTTAAAAATTCCAAATAATTCGCTCCCACCCCTCGTTAAATTTCGATTTAATGTATTATGTTTTCTTATTTTTCTATTAAAAAGATATTCCTAAAAAAAAAATAAGGAATTTAATAATATTAATAATAATTTATTGCAAAAGTAACAGTAGTTGTGTAAGCCGTCGTCAGTAACATAATAATCTTCCGTGGACAGTCATGCACACCCTGGGGTATATATATTCAAGCTCTCATTAACTGCATAATTAACCTTCTCTCGCATCGAAGAGCAGCGCATTAGATCGAATTGTGGGGGGTAATCGGGTGGCTCAATGGCGGCTCGGCCCTAAGCGTCGGCCCTACGCCCTCCTCCACTCTCTTCCTCCTCCTTCTCGTCTCTACTCTCTCGCCATTCTCTTCCTCTCCTCTTCTCTCCTCTCTGCTAACGTCTACTACTCACGGGGCCTGGGCTTGTGTCCGTGGAGCTAATAACCTTGCCTTGCTTCGTGATTGACGCGCCTATACCGGCTAATTATCAACAACAATCAATAATGGCCCCCGAGAGTTCCAACGCCACCGAGACTTACTCTCTTTACCACCACCACCACCACCACTACCTCCACCCCTTTCTTGATCCACTTCCCTTCTATATTCCCATACTACTACTACTTCCTTCCTTCCTTCAATATCTTTACTGTTTCTTATTAATGGGATACAATATGATTTTACGCCTTAGAAATTCATTTATCTAGATAATTATTTATATACGTACACATATTTTTTTCAACCCTACTATTTTATATTTATTATCTTTAATATAAGGATTTTATTTTTCGTTGTTTTTTCTTGAATGATTTTAATTCATATTTTTAATAGATAAAATTTGTTTTGAAAATAAGATATTTATTCAATTAGTTGTTTTTTTTGTTCACAAAATAAAATATATGCGAACTTTATATCATTGGGAAGTTGGACAGGTGATGAATGGATCTTGTTGAACGTTTCATAAGGATATTTTTTAGATAATATGTTTCTCTATTTAGTATTATAAATTAAGAAAAGATTGTTGATAAGATTATAATGAAAATATATTTATAAAGCAAATAAAATATTCCTATGTAAGACTTAAATATTTGTTAATCAACTTGTGATTATAAAAATAATTAAAAATTATTTTGTTTAAATTATTAAATCGACCAAAATAAATTCCACGTAGATGTTTGCATATCTTCATTTTGGACATTTTGAAAATTGATGAAAGATCGAAGGTCAAGTGGTGAAAGTAGAATTTCTGTAGTTTTGAATCTATAGAGGGTTGTTTCTACAGGGGAATATAAATGCATATATACAATATATACATATATAGTAAAGGGAAGTATACGGGCGTGTACCGCGTGCTGGGATACGTCTGCGCAATAATTGGTTTCGGTGGGACAGAGTAACCATCATCGTGATTAAATTCTACCAGGCAGGCGCAGAATGTCGGCGTGACGACGCATTTACCGCTAGATTCTGCCTCCCTCTCTCTTTCTGCTTAACACGTTCTCATTCTCTCTCTCTCTCTCTCTTTCTCTTTCTCATCTAAATCGTCTTCTCTTAAGGCGAATTGCGAGTTAAACTTCGTGATTTTGGATCTCCTGACCTCGAGTAGTTCGAGCTACTCCTAATTTACACACTTTATAAATGCCAATTAAGAAACTGATGTAAGACAGGTAAAAAAAAACCTTAATTTTGTATTATAATTACACAAACATAAATTATTTGTTTTTTTTTATAATGAATAAAATATTCAACGAAATTGTAAATGAAGAAAATAAAATGATCTTGATCATTTTGTATTTTAATTATTGCTTTAATTAAATTATAATATAAATATAATAATAAATTATTTAATAAATATTTTTGGTAATTTTAAAGTATTTGTTTTCGATAATATTTTTATCGTTAATGTGAGTCTTTTAATGAAAATACAAAAAAATAATTTAAATAAAATAATATATATATAATAATATTACATATATAATATTATTATATAAATTAATAATTTCAATAAAAAAATATTAATTGAAATTTCGAATTAAAACTATCAATTTTTTAATATAAAATATTGAAATTATTCAATAAACGTTGAAAATATAAATTGAAAAAGAAAAAAAAAAGAAATTAAATTAGAAATATGTCAGACAAAAAAAAAGTGTTGGTCATTGTCAGTATTACTAGGAGAAAAAGATAATAATCGCGAATAGTAGGTGTGAGTTTAAAAATTAAAATGTGTGAGTACAAGAGAGAGAAAGGGAAAGAAAGAAAGAAAAGAGTGTTCTATCACGTTTTAGCTACTTAAGAGATTGACACGAAAAGATATAGTATAATGGACGAAGTGGTTTCGACCTGTGCTTTCTCCTGCCCGACTCTCCTAGTGACTCTAATGGGCCAACACTGATCGCTGATAAATTTTAAAACGCCTAGGGGGCCCTTTTTGATTCTTCTTCAGCTGCTTAATCGAGTTAAGGTGCCGATTAAGAAACAGCCTGCCGTCACGTTAACGTTCAAGATCCTACCACATAGTTTAGTTATTGTCCTACCGTAAATCTTTTTCGATTAGTTTACTCAAAAAGATCTAACTAA